AGGGTCATTTTTTCTTCCTGGGCCTTGGTTTCCTCATTTATAAAATGGGAAAGGAGAGAAGTGCAGCAGGCCCCTTCTTACTAAACAATCCTTACCCACCAGCATGAGTGTTCTCTCATTTTCGTATCTAGACTTGAAACTATAGACAGCTCAGGAGACACATCTGTTTCTTGTTGTTAGAGTCATTTAATCAGAGAGACAACATGGCAATAAGTGAGCAATTCAAGTACAAATGGATAAGATAGACTGTCTACATTTTCTCAAGCCAAGAAAATACACATTAATTGTGAGTAAAAAAAAAAAAAAAGCCATACATTCCAAAGTTTAACCTTCAAATGTAAGGATGCTAGGAGTATTGACTTCCTTCTTCTTAAGCGGTCCAAAGGGCTTCTTGAAGGAGGTAAGATTCTTTGTATTGTGTGAGAGAGAAAACTCTCTGAGTAGAATCAAAGATGATGTGTTCTAGTGTTTATTAATGCTGAAAGAAGACTTGGAGGCAAGCATGAGATGGTCTTGAAGAAGGAGGAATAAAATGTTAGTTTTGGGGGGGCTACCATAACAAGCTACCACAACCAGATAGCTTAAAAAAATACAGAAATTCATTCTTTAACGTTTTGGAACCTAAAAGTCTGCAGTCAAGGTGTTGGCAGGATTGCTTCCTCCTCTTTTTTTTTTAAGTCGTTCAGTTGTGCGCCGACTCTTTGCGACCCCATGGACTGTAGCCCACCAGGCTCCTCTGTCCATGGGGATTGTCCAGGCAAGAATACTGAATTGGGTAGCTGTTCCCTTCTCCAGGGGATCTTCCCAGCCCAGGGATCGAACTCAGGTTTCCCACATTGCAGGCAAATTCTTTACCATCTGAGCCACCAGGGAAGCCCAACAATACTGGAGTGGGGAGCCTGTCCCTTCTCCAGGGGATTTTCCTGACCAAGGAATCGAACCAGGGTCTCCTGCACTGCAGGCAGATTCTTTACCAGCTGAGCTACCAGGGAAGCCCAAGGATTGTTTCCTTCTGAGGGCTCTGAGAGTGAATCCATCCCAGGCCTCTCTCCTGGTTTTGGTGGTTGTCACCCATCCTTGACTTTTATATGCATCACTTCAGTCTCTGAAGAGATTCTGAAGAGGCTATATGCAACACCTCTGTCTTCTTAGGGCATTTCTCCCTAAATGTCTTCAGTTTTTCTACAAAAACAATTAGTCATATTGATTCAGGGCCCTTTTCTCTCTAGTATGACCTCATTTTAACATAATTCCTTCTTTTGTTGTTCAGTCACTCAGTTGTGTCCAGCTCTTGGCGACCCCATGGACGGCAGCATGCCAGGCTTCCCTGTCCTTCACCATCTCCCAGAGTTTGCTCAAACTCATGCCCATTGAGTCAGCGATGCCATCCAACCACCTCATCTTCTGTTGTCCCCTTCTCCTCCTGCCTTCTATCTTACCCAGCATCAGGGTCTTTTCCAGTGAATCGGCTCTTGGAATCAGGTGGGCAAAGTATTGGAGCTTCAGCTTCAGCATTAGTCCTTCCAATGAATATTCACGGTTGGTTTCCTTTAGGATTGATTGGTTTGATCTCCTTTTAGTCCAAGGGACTCTTAAGAGTTCTCCAACACCACAGTTTGAAAGCATCAATTCTTCGGCACTCAGCCTTCTTTATGATCCAACTCTCCACAATCTTATTTTCAAATAATGTCACATTTTAAGATACTGAGGGGTTGAAACTTCAGCATATATTTTTGGAGGACACAGCTCAACTCATTAAAAGGTGAGACGAGCAGAAGAGTTGGATGTTAATATCAGCAAATAAACAGAGGGGTAGAAATATTCAGGTTTGCAGGACCATGAGGGCAATGAAACAGGGATTCCTAGATGGCCAAAGGCAGATAATCAAGTGTGTTCCCTAAGCCTCAGTTTCAGCAGGGCTGTCACTGGATGCTGTAGGTAGGTCATCCTCTCACACCTTTCAGTCCAGAACTTATAAGGAGAGGGGCTGCATCTGCTAAACAATTCAGATCACAACACAAGCACTCTGACACTCTTTCCTTCCTCCCTCCCTGCATTATCTATCCTCCCCTGCTTCCCTCCCTTCCTGTCACCTTTCCTTCCCTTCTTCAACAAACATGTATGGACTACCATTATGTGCCAGGTACATAGCTCTAGGTTCTCTGTTCTAGGTGCTGGAGCTACCACAATGAACAAAATAGACAAGAACCACCCCCAAATCCTCGCAATCATGGAGCTTATATACTAGCAGAGAATGACAACAAGCTGTGAGCATAAAAAAAATAAATCATATAATACATTTGAAGGTTTTAAGTGTTTTATAAATGGAGGGCAAAAAGAGGGCATGGAGAGTAGAGAAATGAAACATGGGGGGTCAGGGGGGTGTGCTGCATGTTTTAACAGGGTTGTCAAGGCAGATAGACCTCACAGAGAAGGGGACCTTTGAGTGAAGACTTGTAGGAGGTGAGGAAATGAACTGTGCAGATAACTGGGAGAAATATTCCAGACTCAGAGAGGAGTCAGTGCCGAGTGGGAGTGTGCCTGGCAGTAAAAGGTCCATGTGGGCCCCTGAATAAGGGAGTGGGAGAGAGTGATGAGAGATGAGGTCAGAGAGCGATAGGTGACACCTTGTGGGTTACTTAAGGACTTTGGTTGTTGTCCTGGGGAAGTGGTAAGGCTTTGGCAAGTGAAGTCTGAAGTGTCATGATCTGACTTACATTTGCCTGGCCTCACTGGCTGCTGCATAGAGCATAGGCTGCAGTGTCTGTGGGAAAGGCAGGGAGCAGGTAGGAGGCTGTAGTTAGCATCCAAGTAAGAGCTGCGGCCAAGCGGGGTGGGGAGGACAGTGGAGGAAGCAGGCAAACAGGATGATCAAGAGTGTAGGTTGGAAAGAAGGGCAGAGATAGAATGGAGGCATGTGGATATAGGATTCCGGAGTTCAGCAGAGAGGTCTGACTTGAAAGTAAATACTGGGTGTCATCAACATGTAGACGGTGTTTGTGGTCCTTATCTATCACTGTGTAACACATTATTCCAGAGTTAGAAATCTAAAATAACAATCATTTACATGTACAGCTTCTAAGGCAGGAATCGAGGAGCAGCCTCGTGAGACTGCAGCCAGGCTGTCAGCCAAGGTGCAGTCACTGCAAGCCTCCATGGGGCCAGAGAACCCGCTTCCAGGCTCAGGGCCTCAATGCTGGCAGGCCTCGGTTCCTGGCTGGCTGTGGGCCGGAGGCTCCAGTTCCCTGATATGCAGGCCTCCCCACAGGGCTGCTCACACAACATGGTGGCTGGCTTCCCCAGAGCAAATAATTTGAGAGAGGAGGAGAGAGGAATCAAGGCAGAAGGTGCAGCCTTTTCCATAACTGAATCTCAGAAGAGACGTAGTCACACGCTACTGTGTGGCTTTGGCCACATGCACCAACCCTGTTATGATGTGAGACCCGGATTCCAGGAGGAGGCGGCGGTTGGGGGCCATCTTGGAAACTAGTTACCTTATTGTGTAAATCTCAGCATGGAGGAGATCAATGAAAGTCCCTCTCCCCTTTCCTTCTTTTCTTCTTTTTTCCTTCTATCCTTTTTTTTCCCCATTCTTTTCTCCTTCTTTATCTTTTATCTCTTTCTTCTTGCCACACAGCCACTGCCCGCCTCCTATGTGTCAGGCCTGTGTGAGGCCACTGGTGTCAGAGCCAACTTAAACACAGTCCTTATACCTGAGGAATGAATACACCCCAGCACTGCATTGACCCAAAGCTGGGCAGACATGAGTATTCAGAGGGAGGAGCAGTGGATGTAGGGATTCAAGAAAACTTCACAGAAGAACCTAGAGCTGCTAAAGGGTGACCATGGGGATCTAAGTAGACAGAAACAGCTTTGGGGAGAGAGCTGGGGACCAAATAAGAGGACCATTATACTCATGCGAAAGGTGAAACCAAGACCTCCCCCCGCAATTCCAGGGGTCAGGCTCTGTCTCTGAGGCTGGGTTACTCCTCACAAACCCTCCTGCCAGGACATGGATGCTCACAGCCATCAGAGGGCGCCTGGGCAGGCCAGGCTGAAGGAGTCACGAGGCGGTGAGCTCGTTGAGCCTCCACACAGGTGGGAACAGCAGTGGTCTCAGAGCTGAGGATCAGATCACATCCAGACCCTGCTCCTAACCCCACGACAGCCAGGCCTGCTGGAGCAGGGCCAGGCAGCCCCATAGATCCCAGACCAGGCCCAGAGCCTTTGAAATACAACTGCCTCTTCCTGGGCCTGCTCCCCGTGCCCCCGTGGTGTCATTTCCAAATCCATTACATTCCAATGGCTTTGGGATCTTTTAATTACATGTGACGAAGCCTCGCCGTTGCTGGAATTAGACGGCCTGTGTTGACGATTTATAGGCCTCAGCTTTCACACAAGCAGGGTAATAAATAACATGAAATGGGCCCTTCAGCATTAAAAACTTCAGAGCTACCCACTAAGCCATGACAGAAAGAATAAAAAAAAAAATGAAAGGGTAAAAAAATAAAAAAACAGTAATGTCTGTGTTTCATGTGTTTAAAATACTGTATGTGAAACAGGGAATGTCAAAAATACGGGGTGCTGAGCAATACGCAACTCATAAAATTTTATCTCTGGTATGAGGATTTCCAACCACATAATGAGGACTTTCCTTTTTTTTTTTCTTTTTTAATCCTGGGTAATTCAAGGCTGATGAGGTGACTGAGAGGGCAGGTTGCCTGGCATACCCATTTACTTCCCCAGATTTAATGGCAAGGTGAGGACTAGGGGGTGAAGCAGCCTCCAGTTCCCCCAGGACTTGCCTCCTGGGCCCCTGGCCAGCCATGTTCCCATCCTCTGGCCCATGCTGGTCTCTGTAGCTGGCATGACGTCCCCTCCTTTTCTTCCAGCCACATTTCTGACACCCCCTACCCCGCGCCCAGAGGCATCCTCTGACTGCACCAGGCACCCTCCCCAAACACACCACATTCGAGGTCAGCCAGAGGCTGGCGCAAGGAGTCCCCAAACCCAGGGCTGCCCATAGGCCTTACCTGTCCTCAGAGTAGAGACTTCCCGAGGGCCAGGCCAGGGTCTTGCTTCCTTTCTGTACCCTGGCACAGGGCCGAGCACACAGCAGCAACTCCACAAAGCTTTTAAGATTAAGAAGCCAAGAATCAGGAATCCAGTTGGATTCCAGTCCAGAGAAGCCAGAAATAGCATGTGAGAGAGAATGAGGGGAGAGAAGGGACAGGACAGGAGGAGAAGAAATACCTTATCTCAGCCTCCTGGATGGGGAGGAACAGGCATTCAGATGCCTCGAGCTCAGTGGGACCTCCTCACTGTGACAGTACAAATGAGACTTGAAGAATACTGGGATCCAAAGTCTCTGGGGCTGCTGCTGCTGCTGCTAAGTCACTTCAGTCTCGTCCGACTCTGTGCGATCCCATAGACAGCAGCCTACCAGGCTCCCCTGTCCCTGGGATTCTCCAGGCAAGAACACTGGAGTGGGTTGCCATTTCCTTCTCCAATGCAGGAAAGCGAAAAGTGAAAGTGAAGTCGGTCAGTCGTGTCCAACTCTTAACGACCCCATGGACTGCAGCCTACCAGGCTCCTCCATCTACAGGATTTCCCAGGCAAGAGTACTGGAGTGGGGTGCCATTGCCCTCTCCGAGTCTTTGGGCAGGCAGGGGTGTTTCGCGTCCCTTCCATGGTCTTCTTGCCAGCATTCTGCCTCTCTCGTGATCCAGCTGTGTGCCCGTGAACTCCTCTACTCCCATCACCCACGGCCTGATGAGCGCAGTCTGGGACCACAGCCCACTAAAGTCATCTTACCCCTTTAGACAAATCTCTCAAACTCAGAGCCCCTCATAGGACCTGGCCAGCCTGGAGAGAGGCTGGCCCTGGATAAGGTGTCCACCCTAATTCAATCAGCCATCTGTAAGGATACCAGCTTAGCTGCTCAGGGAAAGGAATGAACAGTCCTGTGTCCATCAGGGAGCTGAGGAACGACAGGATTTCCTGCGGCTTCAACTACAGAATGGTTTGCAGAAGAGATTGAACTCTGTAGCGCCTTAAAATCCGGCCCAAGTGTAAATTCAGTTCAGTTCAGTTCAGTCACTCAGTTGTGTCCGACTCTTTGCAACCCCATGGACTGCAGCACGCCAGGCTTTCCTGTCTATCACCAACTCCTGGAGCTGACAAGACGTGGTCCACTGGAGAAGGGAAAGAATGGCAAACCCCTTCAGTATTCTTGCTTTGAGAACCCCACGAACAGTACAAAAAAGCAAGTGTAAGTAGATAGAGGTAATTCTAGACCTGAAAGAGTCTAAGCACCAGATCCAACCCTGTCTGACGTCCATGACATCCAAGCCTTTGGATAAGAGAAGATCTAGATTTTCAAATCTAAGAGAAGGGAGCGAGTTGGCAGAGGCTGCAGAAGCAGGTGAGTCTGTGAGGCCACTGAGCTGTCTACTTTACCTATGATTAAGGCTTGGTTGATGACACATAATCTCCATGTGAATGGGAGTCACGGTGCCACAGTCACTGCTATGTGTGTGTGTGTGTGTGTGTGTGTGTGTGTGTGCATGTGTGCATGCTTGTATGCATGGTCAGTCATGTTCAACTCTTTGAGACCTCATGAACTCTAGCCCAACAGGCCCCTCTGTCCATGGCATTTTCCTGGCAAGAGTACTGGAGTGGGTTGCCATTTCCTACTCCGGGGGATCTTCCCAACCCGGTTAATACCTATACTGTTAGGGCTTTAAGAAGATGATAGCTAGCTAGATACATGATATCTATATTATAAAATAGTATCATTAATTTTATATTATATAATTGCATATGAAATAAATATTAAAATATGAAATATTATTATAGACAGTCTAAAATCATTGTGCATGCCACTAGTGATAAATGCTTGCCATTTGGAAAATACTATACTAAATGACTAACTTTTATGATCCTTTTTAAGTTTAAGGTTCTATGATTTCTGAGTTTAGTTTTATGAGTATTTTTTGAATATCTGGAACACTTTCCCTTTTTCTCTCCCCTTTCCTAAATCATGGTCCTGCTCAATTTCACTTCCCCAGTGAAGGTTTCTGTACAGAAAAGAGGTAACTTAGCAGGCCTGAGATTACCACCTTTAGAAAGATCTACTTGCAAGGTTAGCCTTTGGGCTGGTATCTGGGAACTTGAATTTTTGAAATGTTCCCACCATGACTAACTGCTAAGCACTAAAATGTGTGTGCAAACAATGAAATTTATGATGAACACCTGCTTCCCTCTAGAGGTCTAGAATTTTGGTTGTGCTAGGCAGAGGTGTCTACGCGATCATCCCCAGTGAAAACCCTGATCTCTGCGTCTCTGACAAGCTTTCCTGGTGGATGACACTTCATGTGTGTTGTCACAGTTCCATGCTGGGGAGCTTAGCACACCCTGTGTGACTGCAATGGGAGAGGAATCTGGAAGCTAACTCTTGACTTCCTTCAGACCTTGCCTACAGGCCTTTTCCCTTTGCTGCTTTTGTTTATATTCTTTTTCTATAATAAATCTTAGCCTTGAGTGCAACGCTGAAACCTGAATTACTGAACTTGAAGGTAGTCTTGAAGACCCCACATATAGCTTCTTTCCATGACCATTCCACCCTCCAGTTCTCCTCCAATTCTCTTCCTATTCTTAGCCCATTGAGCAACTTAGATAGAATCATACAACTCTCCCCCTTGTTTTGTCCATTAATACAGTACATCACTAGTTATACCTGATGTCTCTGTCCTAGTCATTAATAAGCTCCTATAAAACAAGGGACTGTTTCTTATATAACTTTGATTTGTATTTTCATTTGTGATTAATAGGGTCTTATTCATAGTAATTGTTCTAAGTTTCTTTTTTAAAAAGAATACAAAGCAAAATCAAATAAAAAATTTAGATGCATTTGTTATTGTAAAAAATAATTTCAAAAAAAAAAGGGAAAAAAAGGGAAAAAATTTAAAATCATCCATGATTCCCTATCCATAAATAGCCACTTTAATTTCTTGATTACGTATCCATAAAGAGTTTTTCTAAGAATGGTATCATTATTTTTGTTAATCTTTTCTTAGTAAATACATCATAAATATGTGTCCTTATGAGTACTTTTTTGTTAATAACACCATTTTTAACAATTACATATTAACTCATTGTGTCCCAATATATATGTGTCCCAAACTGGGGACTCTCAAGCAAATCACCATCTACAGACATGTCTTTGTTTTGAGCAGCATAGTATTGACCTTTCTGGTCGTTATTCAGTCACTAAGTCCTATCCGACTCTTTGTGACCCTATGGGCTGCAGTTCACCAGACTCCTCTGTCCTCTGCTATCTCCTAGAATTTGCTCATATTCATATCCATTGAGTCAGTGATGCTATCTAAACTATTTCATTCTCTGCCACTCCCTTCTCCTTTTGCCTTCAATCTTTCCCAGCATCTGGGTCTTTTCCAATAGGTCAGCTCTTCACATCAGGTGGCCAAAGTATTTAAATTTCAGCTTCACCTTCAGTCCTACCAATGACTATTCAGGGTTGATTTCCTTTAGCATTGACAGGTTGATCTGCTTGTAGTCCAAGGGACTGTCAAGAGTCTTCTCCAGCACCACAGTTGGAAAGGCGCTCAGTCTTCTTTTTGGCCCAACTCTCACAACCATACATGACTACTGGAAAAACCATAGCTTTGGCTACACACACCTTGGTCGAAAAAAATGATGTCTCTGGTTTTTTAACACGCTACGTTTGTCATATCTTTCCTTCCAAGGAGCAAGCATCTTTTAATTTCATGTCTGTAATCACCATCTGCAGTGATTTTGGAGCCCAAGAAAATAAAATCTGTCACTGCTTTCACATTTTCCACATCTATTTGCCATGACTTGATGGGATTGGATGCCATGATCTTTGTTTTTTTAATGTTGAATTTCAAGCCAGCTTTTTCCCTCTCCTCTTTCACTTTCATCAAGAGGCTCTTTGGTTCCTCTTCACTTTCTGCTATTAGAATGGTGTCATCTGCATATCTGAGGTTGTTGATATTTCTCCCACCAATCTTGATTCCAGCTTGTGATTCATCCAGCCCAGCATTTTGCATGATGCACTTAACATAGAAGTTAAATAAGCAGGGTTACAATATACAGCCTTGTCATACTTCTTTCCCAATTTTGAACCAGTCAGTTCTAACTGTTGCTTCTTGACCTGCATACAGGTTTCTCAGTAAACAGGTAAGGTGGTCTGTTACTCCCATCTCTTTAAGAATTTTCCACACTTTGTTGTGATCCACACAATAAAAGCCTTAAACATAGTCAATGAAACAGAAGTAGGTGTTTTCCTGGAATTCCCTTGCTTTCTCCGTGATCTACTGAATGTTGGTAATTTGATCTCTGGTTCCTCTGCCTTCTCTAAATCCAGCTTGTGCATCTGGAAGTTCTTAGTTCATGTACTGTTAAAGCCTAGATTGGAGGATTTTGAGCATAATCTTGCTAGCATGTGAAATAAGTGCAATTGTATGGTAGTTTGAACAGCATATTAAAAAGCAGAGACATTACTTTTACAACAAAGNCTGGAATTCTGTCACCTCCAGTAGCTTTGTTCATAGAAATGCCTCCTATGGCCCACTTGACTTCACACCCAGGATGTCTGGCTCTAGGTGAGTGATGGGTGGCAGTATCTAACTTGATTCCAAGGTTTGAGTAACTGAACAATGCCCAGTTGGTGCATACATTTTATGAGTAAATAATTATGATTATTTAACAATAAAATATAAACGTTATTTTTTCTTTCAATTTCTTTGTAATAGGACTTAAACACTAACTTGTTTGTTTGTGCCTGCATACTTAAACCTAACTGTGAGGCATTTATTTTGGTCTAGGGGCGCTGTAAAAAAAAAATATTGCTGAGACAAAGCTTGGGAATCTTTGGCATATTCCTTGTAGAATGAAAGATAATGCATTGTCTGGTTTCACTCCTGCCTGATTGTTCTCAACCCACATGGTCACTAAGTCACTAGAGCCTGTAATGCCTGTATTAGCTACATCAAGTATCTGTCAGCTATCCCTGGGACATTTATATTGCCTTTCACTGTTAATAAACAAAGAGGAGCTTCTTCATAGCTAATATTCTATACATTCAGAA